TATTCAAAACTGTGGAGAAATAGACTCTATGTCATGCTGGAGGAGTATCAAAGTCACATTATTGCAAAAGACAACTTGGCATCAGAGATATTATAGTTTTCTTTGGAAAATGCAAATCTGTGAAACTTTTGGTTAAAAAAAAAACATGTACAATGCCTTAAAAGACTACATTTGTATAATCTTGCATAGATACTGTGAGTGTGTGTGTATGGCATAGATACTCTATATGTGTATTGTGCATTTATGTATATATTATGTGTGCATGTGTGGCATATACATGTACATATATATGTATAAATATATGCATACATAATACATATATACCATCTTAGTTTGTTGGGCTGCTATAACAAGTTTCATAAGTTGAACGGTTTATAAACAACAGAAGTTTATCATATTTCTGGAGGCTGAGAAGTCCAGGATCAAGGAATTGGCAGATTCAGGTCTGGTGAGGGTCCACTTCCTCATAGTTTGCACCTTCCTGCTATGGCTTCACATGGGAGAAGGGATGAAAGGACCTTCCCCTTGGGTCTATTTTATTTTTTAAGGTAATGAATACAAATATTTAATTAAGGCTTCATAGGAAATTTGGCTATGTGTGTGCATGTGTATACATACATATGTGTAAAATAATTTTAACTTTTATTTTAGATCCGGGAGTACATGTGTAGGTTTGTTACATGGGTATATTGCATGATTCTGACATTTAGTATATGAATAGTCCCCTCACACAGGTAGTCCACATAGTACCCAACAGGTAATTTTTCAACCCTTGAATCCCACCTTCCCTAGTGTCTATTGTCATCTTTATGTTCATGAGTACCCAGTGGTTAGCTCCCACTTGTAAATGAGAACGTACAGTGTTTGGTTTTCTGTTTCTGCATTAATTTTCTTAGGATAATGGCCTTGGGCCAGTTCTATAAGGGCACTAATCCCATTCTCGGCCCTTATGACCTAATTATCTCCCAAATAGTTTCATCTCCTAATACCATTGCCTTGAGGGTTAGGATTTCGACATATGAATTTGTGTGTAGGGGGGAAGTGCAGACATTTGGACCATAGCACACATGTACATAAATACATATGATGCTTCAGTATCAATACACTTCCTTAGACTTGGCTACAAAACACACACACACACACACACACACACACACACACACACACACACACA